CAGCCAACTAACAACTGACAGATAAAAAGAGAAGGTGGTGGCCGGGCGCGGTGTCTCGTGCCTGTAATCCCAGCACTTTGGGAGACTGAGGTGGGGCAGATCACAAGGTCAGGAGATCGAGACCATCCTGGCTAACATGGTGAAACCCCGTCTCTACTAAAAATACAAAAACAAAATTAGCTGGGTGTGGTGGTGGGCGCCTGTAGTCCCAGCTACTCGGGAGGCTGAGGCAGGAGAATGGCGGGAATCTGGAAGGCGGAGCTTGCAGTGAGCCGAGATCACGGCACTGCACTCCAGCCTGGGCAACAGAGCGAGACTCCGTCTCAAAAAAATAAATAAATAAATAAGGTGGTGCTTATTGTTCAATTTATTATATAGATGTCATCAATTCTCATTGGAGGATGCTTGTCTTCTTTTGATAAAAACCAGAAATGTCTGTCTTTGGTTAATTAAAAACAGTATATGGTTTATATAAGATGCCAAGCTTTTGGTGTATTTCAAGGCTTCCTGGAAGGTTTTATATTCATGGCCTGTCTCAGAATGCAAGGTTTTTAGAAATTGAAAGCTTTTTGTTTTTATTTTATTTCGAGAGACAGGCTTTCACTCTTTCACCCATGCCAGAGTGCAGTGGTGTGATCATAGCTCACTGTAGCCTCAGACTCCTGAGTTGAAGGGTTCCCCCTGCCACAGCCTCCCGAGTAGCTGGGACTACCGGTGTACACCACCATGCCTGGCTAATTATTATTATTATTTTTTTTTTTGGTGGTGACAGGGTCTTGCTATGTTGCCCAGGCTGATGTTGAATTCCTAGCCTCAAGCAATCCTCCCACCTTGGCCTCCCAAAGCCCTGGGATTATAGGTGTAAGCCACCACCACTAGCCTTCCTTTTTACTTTTTGAAGTGTAAATATGTTCTGGGTTGAAGAGTCTAATGAGTCAACATCAGACGAGCCAGTCTCAACTACTTCATCGGGTTGTTATGAGGTTTAAATTATACATACGACTGACCCTTGAACAATACAGGTTGGAACTGGATGAGTCTATTTATAAATGGATTTTAAAAGATAAAATGTGCCTGCCTCTCTGTCTCCCCTTCCATCTCCTCCACTACTTCTTTGCCACTCCTAAGACAGCAAGACGAACCCCTCCTCCCCCTCTCCTTCCTCCTCTTTCTCCCCCTCCTCCTCTTCTGCCTTAGCCTACTCAACATGAAGATGATGAGGATGAAGACTTTTATGATGATCCGCTAAATATGTTTTCTTCCTTATGATCTTCTCTTTTTTTCTGAGACAGTGTCTTGCTCTGTCACCCATGCTGGAGTGCAGTGGCACAACCTTGGCTCACTGCAGCCTTGACCTCCAGGCTCAAGGGATCCTCCCAACTCGGCTTCCTGAGTATCTGGGACCACAGGTGTGCACCACTACTCCTGTCTGATTTTTGTATTTTTTGTAGAGACAGGAATTCACCATGTTGCCCAGGCTGGTTTCGAACTCGTGGATTCAAGAGATCCTCCTGCCTTGGCCTCCCAAAGTGTTAGGATTACAGATGTGAGCCACTGCACCTGGCCTGATTTTCTTTCCTTTTCCTTTTTTTTTTTTTGAGATAGGGTCTCTGTCACCTTGGTTGGAGTGCAGTAACGGGATCTCAGCTCACTGCAACCTCAGCCTCCTAGGCTCAAGTGATCATCCTGCTTCAGCTTCCCAAGTAGCTGGAACTACAGGTTTGCACCTCCATGCCCAGCCTGGTTTTCTAAATAATGGTTTCTTTTCTCTAGCTTACTTTATTGTTAAGAATACAGAGTAGAATATGTATAACTTTTTAAAAATGTGTTGATCAACTTTATGTTATCGGTAAGGCTTCCCATCAACAGTAAACTGTTGGTAGTTAAGCTTTGGGGAAATCCAATGTTATATGCAGTTTTTCAACTGTGTCGGGGGTTGGTGTTCCTAACGCTCCCCCCTCCCCATTGTTCAAGGGTCAGCTGTATATGTATGTATGGATGGATGGATCTATGTATCGTGATAGAACAGGTCTTAGTACACATTAACTACTCAAGTATCAGTCAGCCTTGTTATTGCTGAGGCTTATCAAGGCCTCAGAAAGCCAGCTTCACATCCTCAGCCGCCACTAAAGCTGTGTGAGTTTGGGCATCTGAGCCGCAGTCCCTTGTGGGTGAAATGGAGATTGATGCCTGCTTCATAGGGCAGTTGTAAAGACCACACAAACATAGATGAAAAAGGGGTGGCCGGGCGCAGTGGCACACGCCTGTAATTCCAGCACTTCGGGAGGCCAAGGTGGGCAGATCGCATGAGGTCAGGAGTCTGAAACCAGCCTGGCCAACATGGTGAAACCCCGTCTCTACTAAAAAAAATACCAAAAAAAGGCCAGACGCAGTGACTCAAGCCTGTAATCCCAGCACTGTAAGAGGCTAAGGTTGGGGGATCACCTGGGTCAGGAGTTCGAGACCAGCCTGGCCAACATGGTAAAACCCTGTCTCCACTAAAAGTACAAAAATTAGCCTGGCATGGTGGCAGGCATCTGTAATTGCAGCTACTCAGGATGCTGGGCAGGAGAATAGCTTGAACCTGGAGCGGAGGTTGCCAATGAGCGCAAGATCATGCCTGCCCTCCCCAGCACTGGTGACAAGAACAAGACTCTGTTCCAAAAAAATAAATTAGCTGGGCGTGGTGCACATGCCTGGTAATCGCGCTACTTCGGAAGGCTGAGGCAGGAGAATTCATGAACCTGGGAGGTGGAGGTTGCAGTGAGCCAAGATTGTGCCACTGCACCCCAGCCTGGGTGACAGAGAGAGACTCCATCTCAAAAAAAAAAAAAAAAAAAAAAAAGCAGCGCAAGCAGGGGGGTGTTTCAAGAAACATAAGAGATATTAATATTGAATGGGTTTTTCCCCAAAACCGCCTTAAAACAGGACGACCTAATCATTTCAAGAAGAACATTTCCATGTGCACTTCATTTTCATTTCATCTTTATTACATAAATCCTGGTACTCAGCCCCCTTCTCCATTTCGCTAGTGAAACGTACTTTGAAGGTCTGTCCTTTGTAAGTAATACTAAGTAGTTCCCTTCAGGACCAGGCCCTCAAAAACTGCAAGTTTAAAACTTAACAGAGGGGGTCTCAGAAAAGAACAGGGGAGGTCAGAAAAAATGTTACTTCTTTATTTTATTTTTGAGACAGTCTCACTCTGTCACCCAGGCTGGAGTGCAGTGGGTGTGATCTCGTCTCACTGCAACCTCCGCCTCTGGTTTAAGCAATCCTCCCACCTCAGCCTCCCAAGTATCTGGGATCATGGGCACGTGCCACCCACACCAGCAATTTTTGTATTTTTGGTGGAGATGGGGTTTCACATGTTGGCCAGGCTGGTCTTGAATTCTGACCTCAAGTGATCTGCTCCTCAGCCTCCCAAAGGGCTGGGATTACAGGTGTGAGCCACTACGCCTGGCTTTTTTTTTTTTTTTTTTTTTGAGACAGTTTCACTCTGTCACCCAGGCTGGAACACAGTAGTGCAATCACAGCGCTGCAGCTTCAACCTCCTGGGCTCGAGTGATCCTCCCACCTCAGCCTCCTGAGTAGCTGGGGCTACAGATGCAAGCTACTATACCCAGCTCATTTATGTGTTTTTAATAGAGATGGGGTCTCACTATGTTGTGTAGGCTGGTCTCAAACTCCTGGGCTCAAGCAATCCTCCCATCTGGGCCTCCCAAAGTGCTGGGATTACAGGCGTGAACCACCACACCTGACCAGAGAGAATGTTCTACATCACAAAGTACTTAAAATAATTGGTTCTAAATAATCTATTTTAAATAAAATATTTTAGATTATCTATAATCATAATAAACTTTTAAATAAGCTGATTCGTGATGATGGTAACTTGAGAGTGGTCACCACAATCCTGCCCTCTGCTGTGAAATGGAAAGTGCAGGGTCATGTGAATATAACAGTTACCCACTTGTGCTGTCATTAAAATAAGCCTTTTCTTGCAAATATCATGTGAACATAGACTTTAGAAACTGTTGCCATGTCTTGCACCAAAAAAGAAAAAAAAAAAAGAAAAAAGGAAGAAAAGAAGACCCACAAAAAGGACATTATTTCTACATGGTTACGTTAGTTGATAGTTGTTGCTCTGGTGATAGTGTTGTCATGGTCATCTCTGTATTCTTAACAGATACTTTTAAGGGTTACCTGTTAAATCTGAAGAGTATCATTGGTCTTCTTCTCTCTTCCCACATGCGTGATGAAAAATGTCCAACTCCTCTGGGCTTATTTAACAATGAGTTTGAGGGTTTGAATTAGGAAGTTGGACTCTGCTTATTAGGAAATTGGGATAATTCAACCTGCTTGGGACAGAAGTTGGCTCTTGTTTCCATGTAGGAAAATGGTTTTTAATGACATCACATTTTTTAGTGATTGAATCTGGTGGGCATTACTAATTTCAAACTAATATATTACATTTGTGATTACTTTGTTAACACTAAATTCTGGTTGGAAAGTCATAACATGAGGCTGGGTTTGGTGGCTCACACCTGTAATAACAGCACTTTGGGAGGCCGAGGCAGGTATATCACTTGAGCCCAAGAGTTTGAGACCAGCCTGGGCAACATGACAACATGTAGACTTTTTGTCTCTACAAAAAGTACAAAAATTAGCCAGGTGTGTTGGCATGTACCTGTAGTCCAAGCTACTTGGGGGGCTGAGGTGAGAGGATCACTTGAGCCTCGGAGGTCAAGGTTGCAGTGAACTGAGATCATCCCACTGCACTCCAGCCTGCATGCAGTGCCAGACCTTCTCTCAAAAAATAAAAATAAAAATAAAATCTATAACACTATTTGGCACAATTTTAATATTTCAGGATTTTCATAAATTCAAAAAGGACTCTTCTGTAATTCGAACAGGGTCAATAGCTTCTGCTGTAGACTCTTTCTGAGAAGGGCAGGAGAGAGGAAAACATACAGAGGAAAGAACAACACGAGCACTGAGGTCTTCAAGAAAATTGCTGAGCGGTTTTTAGTGGGCACCTCTAACTTTTCAAATAACAGCCTAATATACAGTACATGACTCTCCTTCATACATGTTCTCATCTTTCCTAAAACGGGAGACACAAACTCCCCTCAGTCACCGTGTTCAGTTCTGAATGATGTTAATTCCTCTTCTATTTCAGTCACAGTCCTGGATAGTTTGTCCCTGGAGACTCTGAGGTTAATCACCATCCACTTTCCTTATGTAAAATAGCTGGAGAAAAGAGAAATAAAACTGAAATTGATTCATATATACAAATACAAGCAGAGACTAAAGTATGCATATTTACTACAGTCTTCTTTACTATAACTAGTCAGAGACCATCATTAATATTTATAACTTCCTTCTTTCACTACCTGTTTCATTGCTACCTTTGCCCTCAGCCACCCTCTCAGCTGATCAGGGTTCTGTATCTGGCGGAATGACCTAAAATTTTATTCCTGAAGGATCTGAGGCCTCAGTGATCTCATTTTTATAGGGTTGCTATGATCTTCCATTAACTTTTACTGTTGGACATAGAAATACCAAGAGACCTACCCTACCCTGAGAATGCCCTAAGGTCCAGGTCTAATCTTCTTTGCCCACATTTTGCATCAGCAACACTATTTCTCCTTGGTAATCAGGGCCAATCACTCAAGCCAGTATGTAACTCCCTTAATTGCCTATTGGTTCAATGGAAGACCTCAAAATAGCTAGGAGGCCATCTCAACTATCAGTTAAATGGAATAATTGGTGTGTTTCCTGATAGAAGGATTCCTCCATTAGAAATGAAGACCTCTAAGCCAGATGATCTGTAGGAATGAGAAGCAAACTTTTTGTGAATTCTATGTGTAGGAATGAAGGGACAACTTACGCTCTTTGGGATGGCTATTATTTAAACAACAACAACAACAACAAAATGGAAAGTAAGTGTTTGCAAAGCTGTGAAGAGAAACTTCTCGGCCGGGCACAGTGGCTCACGCCTATAATCCAGCACTTTGGGAGGCTGAGGCGGGCGGATCACAAGGTCAGGAGATCGAGACCAGCCTGGCTAACACGGTGAAACCACATCTCTACTAAAAATACAAAAAAAAAAAAGAGAGAATTAGCTGGGTGTGGTGGTGGGTGCCTGTAGTCCCAGCTACTTGGCAGGCTGAGGCAGGAGAATGACATGAACCCAGGAGGTGGAGTTTTCAGTGAGCCGAGATGGCGCCACTGCACTCCAGCCTGGGCGACAGTTGAGACTCTGTCTCAAAAAAAGACAAAAAAATGAAAAACTTCTCAAATTTGATGAAAGACATAAATCTATACATCTACACATCTAAGAAGCTCAACGTGCTCTAAAGAGGATAACTCAAAGGGATATACACTGAGAACATTTACAAACTGTCAAGGACAATGACAAAGACAGAATCTTGAAAGCAGCAAGAGAAAAGCAACTTATCCTCTGTCTATCATCTGTCTATCAACAGGTAAATGGATAAACAAGTAAAAGTGATCTTCAGTAAGATTGACAGGTGATTTCTCACCAGTCCCCATGGAGGCCAGAAGGCAGGGGGGATAATGTATTTAAAGTGCTGAAGAACTTTACACCAAGAATTTGATATCTGGCAAAATTATTCTTCAAAAATTCAATAGGGCCAGGTGTGGTGGCTCATACCTATAATCCCAACACTTTGGGAGGCTGAGGTGGGAGGATCACTTGAGCCTAGGACTTGAGATCAGTCTGGGCAATATAAGGAGACCCTGTCTCTACAAAAAATTTCTAAAAATTAGCCAAATGCAGTGTCACTCCTGTAATCCCAGCTACTTGGGAGGCTGAGGTGGGAAGATTGCTTGAGCCTAGGAGTTCAAGGTTGCAGTGAGCCATGCCACTGTATTCAGTCTGGGTGACACAGTGAAACACTGTCTCAAAAAGGCACTTGACCTTCACATGCCCGCTTGGGTCTCTTCCAGCATACTTTCCTTTCTTTACTGTTTTAAAGCCTTTTTAAATAAACTTCCACTCCTGCTCTAGAAAAAAAAAAAAAAAAGAAAGAAAGAAAGAAAAAGAAGGATGGGAAAAAAAAAGAAATTCAGACATTCCCAGATATACAAAAGTTAAGGGAATTTTTCATTTATAGACCTTCCCTACAAGAAATGCTAAACCCCTTCAGGCTGAAATGAAAGGACACCAGATAGTAACTCAAAGCTATATGAAGAAAGAAACTGGTAAAGGTAACTACTTAGGAAAATATAAAAGCCAGTATTATTGTACTTTTTTTTTTCCTATATAATTAAAAAACAAATAGATAAAATAATAATTGTAAATCTATGTTAATAGGCTCACAATATATAAAGATGTAATCTGTGACAATAACAATATAAAGGAGAAAGATTGGAAATGTATAGGATGAAAGTATTTATGTACTATTTAAACTAAGGTGGTATTTTTCAAACCAGGTTGTTATAAATTTAAGATGTTATATGCAATTCACAAGGCAACTACTTAGACAATTACTAAAAAAAGACAGAAAAGGAAGGAAGAGAGAAATCAAAATGAAACATTACAAAAAATCAACTAAATACAAAAAAGGCAGTAATGGAGGAATTGAGGAACCAAAAAACCGTATAAGACATACAGAAAACAGATAAATGGCAAGAACTCTACAAAATTTGTAGATTTGTATCCTAATCTGATTTTCTGTCTCTGTTAATTTGACATAATGCAGATTAGAGTCTACCAGAGATTGGCTCATGGGGCAGTAGGGAGTTCTTGCAGAACATTACCATGACCCCAGAAAGTGTCCTCATGCTCCTTCTGGTCAGTCTCCATTGACAATCTCCCAAAGCAATTCACTGTCCTGATTTTTTTCCAACATAGACTTATTTAGCCTCTTCTAGAACTTTGTATAAATGGAACCATAGAGCATAGTTCCTTTAAGGCTTCTGTCACTCAGCAAAATGCTTTCAAGATTCATCTATGTTGTGGGTAGCAGCAACTCATTCCATTTTATTACTGAGTAGTGTTCCAATGAATGAATTCACTACAGTTGAACATTTTCCTATGGATGGCTGCTAGGGCTGCTTCCTGTTTGGGACTACTGTGAGTAAACCAGGAACGTAGCTTATAGTACAAGTCTTTTGGTGAAAATACATTTCATTCCTCTTGGTGCACACCAAAGAGTGGGACACTGGGTCAGAGAGTAGGTGCATGTTTAGTTTTACAAGAAACTCCCAGGCCTAGGTTGCAGTGACTAGATCACACCACTCCACTCCAGCCTGGGTGACAGAGTGAGACTCCATCTCAAAACAACAACAACAACAACAACAACAACTCCCAGGCCTTTTCCCAAAGTGGTTAGACCAGTAGTGTGAGGGTTCTGGTTGTTCCACATCCTCACAAATATTCGACCTTGTGGGTTATTTTAATTTTAGCAGTTTTGAAGGTATGAAATGGTGTGTGATGGATATGAAATGTAGTTTTAAGTTACATTTCCCTGATGACTAACAATGTTGAACATTTTCATGGGTTAATTGGTTAGTCATATGTGTCTTCTTCAGCAAAGCATCTGTTCTAATCTTTTACTTTTTTTTTTTTTTTTTTTTTTTTTAGACAGAGTCTTGCTCAGTCACCCAGGCTGGAGTGCGGTGGCGCGATCTCGGCTCACTGCAAGCTCCGCCTCCCGGGTTCTCGCCATTCTCCTGCCTCAGCCTCCCGAGTAGCTGGGACTACAGGCGCCCGCCACTACGCCCGGCTAGTTTTTTGTATTTTTAGTAGAGACGGGGTTTCACCGTGTTAGACAGGATGGTCTCGATCTCCTGACCTCGTGATCCGCCCGTCTCGCCCTCCCAAAGTGCTGGGATTACAGGCTTGAGCCACCACGCCCGGCCTACTTTTTTTTTTTTTAAGAATACAATACATTGTTATTAACTGTAGTCACCATGTTTTACAATAGGCCTCTTGAAGTTATTCCTGCTGTCTAACTGAAATTTGGTATCCTTTGATTAACATCATCCCATTGCTCCAGCCCCTGGTAACCATATGTGACTCTGCTTCTATGAATTCCACCTATTTTTTTTTTTTTTTTTTTTTGAGACAGGGTCTTACCCTATCACCCAGTCAGGAGTGTAGTGGCATAATCTCTGTTCACTGCAGCCTCAACCTCCCAGACTCAAGCAATCTTCCCACTTCAGCCTCCCAAGCAACTAAGCAACTGGGACCACAGGCACGTGCCACCACACCTGGCTAATTTTTGCATTTTTAGTAGAAATAGGGGTTTCACCATATTGGCCAGGCTGGTTTTGAACTCCTGACCTCAAGTGATCCCCTTGCCTCAGCCTCCCAAAGTGCTAGTGTGTCCAGAATTGGTGGGTTCTTGGTCCCACTGACTTCAAGAATGAAGCCATGGACCCTGTGGTGAGTGTTACAGTTCATAAAGGTGGCACATCCAGGGTTGTTGATTCCTCAGGTCTGGAGTTGTTCGTCCCTCCCAGTGGGTTTGTGGTCTCACTGGCTTCAGGAGTGAAGCTGCAGACCTTGGCAGTGAGTGTTACAGCTCATGAAGGTGGCATAGACCCAAAGAGTGAGCAGTAGCAAGATTTATTGGGAAGAGTAAAAGAACTAAGCTTCCACAGCACAGAACACTTCCCCACGGCATTGCCGCTGCTGGTGCTGGTGGCCTGCCTTTATTCTCTCATTTGGCCCCACCCACATCCTGCTGATTGGTCCATTTTACAGAGAGCTGATTGGTCCGTTTTGACAGAGTGCTGATTGGTGCGTTTACAAACCTTTAGCTAGACACAGAGAGCTGATTGAGCTGATTGGTGCGTTTACAATCCTTCAGCTAGACACAAAAGTTCTCCAAACCCCCAACCTATTAGCTAGACACAGAGTGCTGATTGGTGCGTTTACAATCCTTTAGCTAGACGGAAAAGTACTCCAAGTCCCCACCCCTCCAAGAAGCCCAGCCAGCTTCCCCTCTCACTGGCACTGGCCGCGTTAGTTTGCAGCACCTAGCCCGGGCACTCCCACAGCCCAGAGGGAGCTCATCCCCCTATCAAGCCCAGCAGGCCCTGGCCCACCACGCCCAGTGCCTGGCTTGCGAGTCCGCACTCACCTGGATCCCGCGCCTTCCCTCGAGCGCAGCGCGCAGCGGCGGCTCCCGCCGGCGCCTCTCCCTCCACACCTCTCAGCAAGCAGAGGTAGCCGGCTCCGGCCTTGGCCAGCCCCAGAGAGGGGCCCTCATAGCGCA